TTTCCGTTACCCAGAAGCAAGAGCGCAGGTCTAGACATGATATCTCATCTGAATTTAGAGGAGATCATGACTGCAGAGACCTCGGTTATACGCCTTAACTTAGGGTCCAATAACGAAGATTAGATAAGGCACATTAAAGTGAAACTTTTTTTTACATTACTTTAGCCAGACTGTTTTCTTCTTCAATTGCGCCGAGAAAAGACGATTTTTGAAAGTTACAGCCATCTTATCACTTCAAAAATTGTTTCTGACGTTTTAAGCCGTCTTAAAGTTCTTTCTTTTTGGCGACTTGAGCTTCAAAACGTCCTTAATATAGTCTAAAATTGAGTGGGGAGGGGGGCAGTTGTTTACAGTTGGATATAAACATTAAAAGGTAATGTTGAGTGAATAAAAGAAATTGGTATGTAATATCTTTGCTGACGTTTTAATTGACGGTGTTTACCAATACCTCCGCGAAAATTTTGACATGCGCATTGTTATTATTTCACTTCCAATTAACTTTGTCGGAAAATTAATTTTTACCCACCAGTAAATACTAACAAGCCAAATTTCGCCGCTTCCTTGGTACTTGTTGTTAAAGTTGCTTCATTATTGCTAAATTTTTGTCTCCCGAACTTTTGACGAAACGAGACCAGCACGCTATTTTGACTCTCGTACTAAAACAGTGAAGATTCAAGTATCCAAGGTCACTACGAGTTCCAGGAGCCAATCAAGACATGAAAAAAGTTAAAGCTATCCACTGATTTGGTAAATACTAATGTCTAGTAACAATAATAATAATAATCAATAATAATAACAAGACGAAGATGAAGAGCATAAGTAATAAGTCGAAGTATTATAATAAGTACTAATTTATTCACCTGTCACAATGGGGGTTATATTGACATAATAACAACAAATAAGGTCAAATAAATAAATAAAAGCTAATAAAAATAATTTAAAAAAACACTTGAAGCCGTAGAATAAAAAAATAGATAAAATAACCATACCAAATTAACATGGTTTTTGTCTACTTTACCACAGGATTCAGATGGACAATATCAATGTTTAGACCAAACCAATAACGCTCTATGCCTTGATAATTTTTACTCGCACAAAACAGCTACCGTGAAATGTTCTTGTTTAATCTGTTTTCGAAATCTTTCCTGGTCCTTGTCGTCACCCCGTTTTTAAAGGAATGTTTTAATAAAAACAAGAGTCAGTTTCTAAGCGTACGTGTGCCTGGGCGTATTTGTTCAAAATTGTCATTTCCGGTTAAATCTTTTGCTGCTGACGTATTTTAAGGTTCTGACGAAAGAACCACCTTTATTTTTCTTCTCCCACGCAATGCCACGCAAAATTTGAATAAAATTTTATAACGGAAGAGAATCGGAAATTATCCAGCTTTAATACTTAAAAAGAAATTGTTCTATTCTACTCAAAATAAGTTGTTTCCTCTAGACGACTTCTTAAAGCATTCTTTTGCGGTTAAGCGTAATTACACTTCTGCTTCTTCCTGCTTTCGTGACTCTCAAACCATTTTCTAACCAACCGTGATAAAGTTTGTTTTAAATTGATTTGCTCATTCATCTGACTGTCGAAGCAACTTATACTGGGACAACCAATATTCCTCCATTAGAATATCTCCGTTAACGTGAAAGCACTCTCTGTTTTTTCACGTTTTTAAGGCCCGTTGTCTTTATTCAAAAACTTATATCAACTTCAGGAAGTTATTGCTGAATATTGCCGTCTTCAGACGTGCTCATCAGGCGTCACTCCTGAATCCACAGGGCTCCCAAATTCAACATGCGGGCTCGGTAACCATGATGAAGCGATAAAATGCCGCGTAACTTTACGATTTATAAGGTTCCTTACAGGAAAAGTAAGAATTCGAGGTCATTCAAAAAATAACTCCTTGTCTTAGTTTAATACAGAGAGAAGAAATTGAATAAACTTAAGTACAAGTCCTTTTAAGAGGGCAATCTGGTTATTTTTTAGGAGAAATTATGTGGGTAATATTAATACTATATTAGGGTAGAAAGACATACACTTACCGTAATAGTCGGCTAATGAGCTTAGAGGCACCTTGTTGTGGTAGTGGATATCTGGTATTTGTCTACTGAATATTCGCTTCATATTTTAATTTTTAACAACCCCTTTTCCTAATTTCCATGCATTAAAAACATTTAAAAAATCATCTAAAACTGTTCGAAAACTTAAGACGGAGTCCATCAGGAAATTGAGTAATCTTAATTTTCAATGGACAAAAACGTTGTACCAGAATAATGTAAACAATATCGCACTTTTTTTTTTACATTTTTCAAGGGCCATAGAAGTAATAAGTTATCTGTGATAACACCAAAGAAAACGAATGTCAAATGCTCGAAAAAACGAATGTCAAATTTCACAACACAGTGACATCTTACACAGGAAATTTTCAGAGTTTTAACTGTGTTTTCAAAATTCTTGTGAAATTTGACATTTATTTTCTCAGGCTCCCATTAGAAATAGTCTTGGGTGTTATTATAGATAATCAAGAGAGATAATAAATTATATCCATTCTATAGCCCTTGAAAAAAGTAAAAAAATGCGGTATTGTTTAAATTATTCTAGTACAAGGTATTTGTCCACTGAAAGTTGAAATTACTCAATTTCCTGATGGATTCCGTCTTAATGCACCAATCACTCCAAACTAATCAAGTAATTTTTGGATCGAATGAAATCTTGGCAAGATATTCAAGGAAAACGGCGGAAATAAACGAAAAACAATTCTTTTAACCAGAAAATTTCAGGATCGCAGAAGAAGCCCTCATCGCTTCAAAAACGCACAAGAAAAAAAACGCTTCAAGCAATTTTTTTTAATTTTTCCGCAATAAGCTGAGATAAGGCATATTTTTCGCATTTTTGCATTGTCCAATATGAATTCTTAAAGCCGCTAAGGGAATTAATTAATTTCAATGGGGTCTATATATAACGTGGTCTCGTTTGCAGCCGCTCGGGCCGGGTGGGGGCGGGTAGCTTGTGTGGCTACGGCCCTAGCAGCATCGAAGTAGACTAGATGCAAGAGAGATATTAGTGATTACTGACTTCCCAACAAAAAAACATATTTCGTTCACTATGTTTAAAACATTTCGCACAATACCTTGGACTAAAATGTTAAATGTATTATAAAGCCTCACTTTTTAAACCTTCTTGGCAATCGCCCTTCCGGACACTTTTAACGATAGTGTTTCATTTCATAGGGCAGGAGTCGATTACTCGGCTCCTGCATAGGGTCATGGAAGCCAGATTTAATTAAGTATTTAACTAATCACATCATGGATCACTGCCACTTGACCACCGCTGAGCAAAGGCATAATTAAGTTCTCGCTGAGAGCATGATTCCAAGATCTTCCACCACAATGTAAAAAACAATTGTCTTTAGCTTCTAACCATTATCTGCAGTCCTGGGCTCTTAACTTTTGAGTCTGTGGATAAGTACCATAGTGTCTTTGTGGCCACTCAAATAAAACCTCTTCGACTTCTCCCGCAGTACTTTCACATGGTACTATTTATTTACTATGTACTTCTATAAACTGTCGACGTCTATGGATGAAATCCTATGGTGTTACCTTTCAAATGACTTTACAAAGTCCTATTCCTTTTTTCACCATTTTGCAAGATTTTAATTTTTCTATTAGATTTTGAATTGACCACCTCTGGAAGTGAACTTTTTAGAATCAGCTTTAGCAGAATCTCCAAAGACCACTGCAAAGCTGATCAGAACAACGTGTATTGTTTTTTCATAACAATATTTGGGTTGGCCATGCCAGCCTTCAGGGGCACCCAACGTCAATTTTCGGAAAATATCTGTTCGGAAGACGATTTGAGATCTAGAATTTTCGGAACATTTGTTGTAAAATTTCTTGCTTGCCTGCCTCTCCTAAGATTTTCGAACGTCTAAAGTGTGGTATAATTGGCCATTTTTAACGGATTTTTACCCTAAAAAGGTCACCTAGAATTTTCGAGAGCCTTTTTTCTGGCTGAAATTTTCGAAAAGGTAACTTTTGATCCCTATAATTTTCGGATCACTATACTTTCAGCTAGGAAATCCGAACAGAAGAAAAATATTTAGGGGATAAAAATATACCTATATCTACCATATAATTACTAAAATACGTTTAACAAAGCTATGTTTAAGTGGTTTTGAACTATAGTCTCGTTGGGTGCTGCTTAGCCTTCTTCAGGTTTTCAGATGTTACTCAGAACTTATGATAGGAATCACAATAAAAAAAAACAAACAAACATACAATACATGTTATTCTGATCAGCTTTTCAGTAGTCTTTGCATTTCTCGTTATTGGTTCTTAATATTTTGGCTGATTAGATCTTTTTCTAGAGATAAAACGTTTATAACTAGCAAGATCTTCGTCCAAGGTTTTTGCAGTCATTTTAATTCCTTTTATTATGCAGCTGTGGACGCCTCCCAGGAGTAGCGCGGTCTTGCTAAACTGAGTTTTCAGACTAGTGGATGAAAACTGTTAAAGGGCTTTTTGTGCTAAGGGCTGGTATGGGGAAACGAAAAAAGTGAACAAGGATGTGAAAGCTCAAGACTATAGGGAACATGTAAAATAACAACTCACGGGACATACAAAATCGGTCGATTTTAACCTCGTCGCCAGGGCTCCCACTCCTCCAATTTTTCTAACAGAGAAGCCCTGGGGACGATATAAGCCCCTGTATCAGGTTCACTGATTTAAAAAAAATGAAATACGGGCACTCTTAGGTAATCGGGTAATATAAGACTGTAGAATAACATAAGAAAGTGATATGTCTAAAGTTAAGAGTGCGTTCACTTTGATACAAGAGAATTCAAATCAAAACTGATTGTTCTTCATCATATTTCGGCGACGACCACTACCTTAGATCATAGCGCACCTGGCCCAATGATTCACTCAGAAGCTTCTGTACCCAAAAAAAGACACAGCAAAACCTTGGTTTAAGAAATTGCTTTTATTGAGTTCAGGTCTGCAACAAGAATCTCAGTTTTTCACTAAAAAGTAGTTGTCACCACGTGATCTTTTTCTGAGAATCATGAATGTGACACCCAACATGCTCAAACATGTCATGGCGGCCATGGCTGCGAGCAGTGAAAAATTGCCTCTAGCTACAAAACAAAAATCAAGACAAACAACAAGTTAAAACAACTAACTAATGTTACCATCAGCACTGTATTCTTTTAACTAATTAGGAATGAAATAAATATTGCGGGTCCTTTCTTCATTTAACTTGTTCTCACGGTTAAGTTGCAATGAACATTACGGGATTTAAACTGTTCGTGCTGTCTGTTTGCAACCAAAAAAATTGTAGTAGTGGAGCTTCAAAGCATTTGATTAAATGGCAGGGGCCAGATTTAGATGTCTATCTCGGAGGGGGGGGGGTCACCCTATAATGGCCGAGGAGGCTCCTCCCGAACGGCCTAACTTTGTTAGCCTTCAGGTTTATGTAAGGCCAGGGATTTCACTAGTTCAAGCATTTAAAAGGGTAAAGGGATCTCGGGAAGGAGCAAAGTCCGTTAAGAGAAAGGTGAATGTCGTGCAAAATGTTGTGAGCTTGTAATACCTGTAGAATCCATTTTGCTGTCAATAGCGAGATTATTGTCTAGTTCCTTGTATTCCTTATCACGATCCAGCGTCATTGGTCCTTGCACCAGGGAATATACCTTGTGATGTTGGACTTCACGTCTGAGCCGAGGTTTCTTTTCACATCCTCGTGCACATCTGGATTGCGGATCAGTCGCGTTGCAGACGATCATGTGACAATGAACGAAGACAAATGGCTGATCCACAAATTCAAAGGCTTCCAAACTAAATCGAAATGTGCCCGTGGGGGAGGGATAGAGTTCCACTGTATCGTCAACCGGACATCTAACCAAGCAAATAAGTGTTTATGTCAAAGTTAAAAAGTAATGAGAAAGGCAATACAATCATTCCTGATAATCATTTCAGATACCATTTTACGTACACAAGTAGTTCAAGTATAGAGCAGAGAGTTTTCGTCATTTGTAAGCTGTGTTTTGCCGAGGTAATAGAGAATAGTCATAAGATGGTTGTCTGAAGAAAGTAATGACAAAAGTTCTTCAAGATTCACCCCTTATCTTTTCCTTATAACCTGTTTCTTTGGCTTAGTCTCGAGGTAGATGTGGAGAAAGCTGGAGTGGGGTTTCGTGTTGTACATAATGAAAAAGATAATGTGGATATTATTCGAAACACTGTTATGTGAAAAGAGCAATGACAAAAATGCTTTTGTCTTACCCATTTTCCATTATGAAATGTTTCTTCGAGTTTTTCTGATCAGAAGTTGGTGTTGCGAAACATTTTTCAGCCAAGATTGACAGCCTCTTGTCTTTGCTCTGAACTTTTGCTTGGAAGAACATCAATTGTCGGAGTTTAAAGGACAATGGGTAGTCATTGGCAGTATATGATGTGATGAATCTGAAAACATAACAACTGGTAAGGTACTTCTGTTATCAACAACTGGGCTAGTATGTTCAGTATAAGAGGAGTGAGTGGAAAGGCATTTGTCAGCGTCCAATATCCTGACGGTCAACCCAGTAACTAAGAGGTATTTTACAAAATCGCTTAGAGTCGATTTGAAGCCTTATCCTTTTGGACTTTAGAATTAGAAATGTCCATTGGAGACACTCGGTTCCCTGGTCTTCAACATAAAAATATATAGATTTCTACCGTTACAATACCTCTCCAAAGCACAAGGTTCTTTTAGATTAATAAAAGTCAAAGGAAATTAAGATGGTTTGAATAGGGTTTAGTTTTTATTGTTATTTAGCCAAAATTTTAAGTGTCTGCTATTAACCTGCCCAATTTTTTAATGTTTACTGTTTCCGGGGAAAATACAGTTAATTGTTTGGAGGCCGGTTTTTCGTGAAAAAAAATTTTATCTGTAAGCTGTAAAAAGTATATCTTTCATATGTGAAATTAGCGAGAAAAATAAAGTCAAATTTTTTTTAAGGGTTTCCTTGAAAATCTTCTCCAGTTTTTGGGAATCTTCGGTAGTCTTCAGAAATCCTCTGAAATAATCGGAAATTTCCGGAGAATGGCCGGAAACTCCTTGAAATGCTAAACCAAATAATATTGACCTTTTTGGAGCCGTTCTTGCTTCTCTCTGGAAAAAATTACTGTTACGGGAGGAGCTGATTAGGTGAATTTTTTACTGTTAGTGTTAAAATGCCTAGTGTTATCGAGATGCCCCCATTCAGATCCTCAACTAAGTGTTTCGTTTTACTGGCTATTTGTTTGTTTGTTTGTTTGTTTTAAGCAATGCGTATGTTTACGTTCTCATTTGTTTCAAACCTTTTGTTGTGGAATAATTCCAGCATAATGGTGAAGTTTCCTTTTCCTTTCTCCGAGAAAACCAGCTTTCGGTTTTCGGGCCTCATTCCAACGGCTGTGGCTGTTCTTTTATTAGAATAGTAACAACTGAATGGAATCTCAATTTCCCTGACACGGGTAATGATGTCATTATTTTTCAGCGGAATCTCTAGCACAGTGTTGCTATATACAATAGAAGACTTGGTGTGTCTTCGTGTTGTGTTGCATTTCGTCAGTGCTGTTGTCAGAGTGAAATGTGTGGTATTCTCAGTTGCTCCGCATTTTGGGTCCAGGAGACGAATATGCTCTCGGTCCATTCCTTTGAGAATGAGCTTGGGGATAGCGATGGACATCTTGTTTTGAAGGCAACGGACGAGCACGCCTTTTGCTGAAGAAAAAAATGTAGACGGTTTTTAATAAGAGCTGATCACCCATCAACAAGGGTCAGGTTATATCGTGGAAGATTTGCAAGAAATTTATGGGTTCATCTTCACGCCAATTATTCTCAGCTAAGTAGTAGGATTTTCTTCAGATGAGATAAGAGGTGTCAAGCGAAGGAAGCTTAACTGCAAGATCAAATGCTGTACTAAATTCTGCAGTTGTTTATGAACACCAAGAATATCCTAAGAAATTCCTCTAAAGTAATCTGGAAGTCTAAAACACTTCGACGCTAATCAGTAGGAGATGGCGGGAAACGTCCACGGCAATCATCTTTTACCCTTTTCGACAATTTAATTTTTGCGTTATCAAGAATTTTCTTTCAAAAAACAAGTAACAACTATTGTATGAGCTACTAACTGTTGACATTTGACATTGTCCATACAGTGACCACTATGTCCTGTGTTACCTTCACAAGTATGGTTGTCCTCAGCCAATGAGAGCTCTGCATCTGGGCAAACGCACTCGTAGCTGCCAGGTATGTTTTCACAGTCGTGAGAGCATCCACCATTCTGAACAACACATTCGTCAATATCTAAAAAGAAACAGTTTGCAGCTATGAATATTTGTTATTAGATGAGGTTCTTGTATTATAAGACTTTTGCCATATCTTGGCTCCTTTCTTATTTAATTAGTGGGAGTGTTGAAAAAATACAGGAGAAGTTCATAATATAACGGGAAAGCGTGCGCTTTAGGTAGCATGCATAACTTTTTTGAGCCGAAGGCTTGAAGAGTAAACTTGACACTCTAACGAAAGATTTACAAGACCTAAAAGAGCTGCTAGAAAAGAAAGAGTCCACGATTGGAACAAGACAAGATGGCGCGGATCCATCGTTTGAGGAAGAGAGTTTGTATATTATTAAACACATTTTATTCTTATGTTGTTGGAAAAAAGGAAGGTCTGAATAATTATGTAGACTACCAGCCAGAAAGAAAGAAATCTTACCAGTGCATGTCTTTCCATTTCCTGTAAAACCCTTTTTGCAGGTACAAGTGTAAGATCCAACAATATTTTTACACTTGGCATTACCGTCGCAGTCATCAGCACCGGTAGAACACTCGTTGACGTCTAAGAATAGAATATCACAAGATTAGTGTTGGATAAATCGTAAAATTCTTTGAAATCCTTTCATGTATCTTGAAGGCATTTCACTACAGGGTAGTTATAAAGTATGTAAAAGCTATTCTGTTAAGCGTAATCATCTAATATTGTGTTGTTTGAAGGAAAATCTGAAAGTGGAGAAGAGCTTTTTCTTTAAGAAGGACAATTCAGTAGGATAAGAAAATCTTACCAGTGCATGTTTTTCCATTTCCTGTAAAACCTTTTTTACAGGTACAGGCGTAAGATCCAACAGTATTTTTACATTTGGCATTAACGTCACAGGCATCAGCGCCGGTAGAACATTCGTTGATATCTAAGGTCAGAGTATCACGGGATTACACTTTTAAATAGATCGTTATTTCTTACAAAATTTTCTTTCAGGTCTCCTAAAGCACTTTACTATAGGGTTAAACAGTTTAAACTATGCAACAATATTATTACTAAGCGATACGCGCTATCGCTTAATTTGCCTTATTTGAAATTAACTGAACTGGAAACGAAAACGATTGATTTTTTTTCTTTTTGGAAGAGTTGGTCATTAATCCAAAGTAAAAATCTTACCAGTGCATGTTTTTCCATTTCCTGTAAAACCCTTTTTGCAGGTACAAGTGTAAGATCCAATAGTATTTTTGCATTTGGCATTAACGTCACAGGCATCAGCGCCGGTAGAACATTCGTTGATGTCTAAGAACAGAGTATCACGGGATTATTTCAGTTTTAAATAGATCGCTATTTCCTTAGTGATCAACTTTCAGGCCTCCTAAAGTTATTTTGCTTTAAACAGTTCACAGTGATACCACTTAACAATCACTTTTCCGTTTGGAAGAGACTGTGGTTATATGTCAGTTAAAATCTTACCAGTGCAAGTCTTTCCATTTCCTGTAAAACCCTTTTTGCAGGTACAAGTGTAAGATCCAATAGTATTTTTACACTTGGCATTAACGTCACAGTCATAAGCACCGGTAGAACATTCGTTGATGTCTATGCACAGAATATCACGAGATTATTTGAGTTTCAAACAGATCATTCTTTCTTAGAAATAGTTTCAAGCATTTTGAAGCCACTTAACAACTACACGGTTACACAGTTAAAAACTATGTAACAGTAATACCAC